CTTCCAAAAAACGTTGACCAGTATACTATAAGCCAACGCTTTGTCTCTGATCCTTCGGTTGTTACATTTAAGCCGTGCTGTGTTGTGATTTTTGCAGTTTTTATCTTTAGCTTTGAACTATCCTTAACAGGTTCCTTCATGTCATCCGTTTTCGTTTTCCATACAGCAACTGGTATCATGGAGGTGGAATTTTCATTCGAGGAAAAATAATTTGTCTCAAGTTGCCACAGTAGCACTGCAAACAATACCAAGCCAAGCGTACACTTTAGAGCGTACTCTTTTCCTCCCATTCCGTGACAAATCTTTTGTTTACGTCGTAGTATAGGTTACCTGTAAATAACAACATTTTTGAAGGTTATTAGGAGAATGAGCGGCTTGTCTGAGTCTTTCCTCTAGTAAACCAGGGAGGTGCATTTACAATGAGTGACACATTGATGTTTTCTGTGAAGTCATCCACTGGTGTACGTCAGGGGTACACCCAGTGCCACTCCATACAGTTAACCTAACAGAAACGTTGACGCGATTACTCAGTAAGAAGGTAAAATTAAAGTGTGGTGACCGATGTGAGAAGGCGCTCGAGGAATTGTATGCCATGTTATAGAGAGCCACTGTATTGACAGCGCCTGATTTTAAATCCCCGTGCAAGTTGGCTCTTGATGCAAATGATGTTGCCGCTTTTCCGTGCTGTTGCAATAGTATGATGACGGTGTGGAAAAATCGTTTTTCATTTTTTCAAGAAGTTCAACTAAAGTCAAAGGAGCTATTCTACCATCGAGAAAGAATGTTTGGCACTAAACTAAGCACTACAACATTTCGAAGTTTACGTTTGTTCCTAAAGTTTGCCTGTTGTTGTTTTTAGTGATCACAACCCCCCTGTCCTTATACACGAGTTGAAAGACAATAATCAACAATTGCCGAGGTTAGTGGAGTTTAATGTTGCAATTAAGAGTAGATTTCAAGCATGAGACACATGAAAGGAATGGACAATGTTATTGCAAACTGCCTCTCAAGAATACGAGGTTTTTGCAAGAAAGTTTTGCAAACTTTCTTGTCTTGAAAGGGAAGGGTGTTATGGATGATTACTGTAAAAATAAATATCTAGAAATTTCTAGAATACCTAGTGATGCTGACATGCATACGCGAAATTTCCACTTTCATGCCATGGAACTTTCTGGAATAATCTATTAAGTCACGTATTTATGATATCATACAACCAAAAAGTTGTGTTGTAAGCTTCCGGAATTTTTTTTGGAATAGTTTGTAAATGTGTGCAAGTACTCAGTCGTGTAGAAGTAGTTGTGGTTGTCAGGAGTGACGGACTGTTTGGAAAGCAAAACAGAGAGAGAGAGCTACTGTGGAAGACTGTTCGTTTTGAGGACAACTGTGAGATTGTGTCAGTGCTGAGTTAATTTCTAGTTTGGGGTGGGTTAATCAATTCAGGTTGTTACGGATAATTACTGTCTTGTCATTAGGAGTCGCTCCTTAGTATGAATATTACGCGTTGTTTCATAAAGTATTTGGGTTTGTAGGAGTATAGTGTTCCTACAATAACAGCAATATCTGCTGCGAACATTGCATCTATTATGGCAGGTAATTTAGTGTTAACGACTGAGTTGAAAACGTAAATTGGCCACCGTAAAGAGTTAAAAAGGCTGACGTTTCTAGCGTTAGCCCTTCGTCAGAGCAAATGGAAGAAGTGTGGGTTGTGTGTGGGTTTATATGCGGAAAATGGAGTTACGCATACTGGAGTTTCGTGCTGTTTTTCGGTGAGAATTTTTTTAATTGCCTTTTTGGGCTTGAAGTGCTAACTAGAGGATAAACTTCAGCAAAACTTATTTATCACATGGCCCCCAAATCCCTCACCACTGTCAGTTCATTGTTTATTTATTTAGCTCTCGGTCTAACCAGTTCATTAACCTCAGAAAAATACGAGGGCTTTGTCTCATTAGTTTAAACTGGTGCCGTTTTCTTCATGTTCATGTGTTATTCGAAACGAATGGCATCAGCTTCATTCTCTCTTGTTTATTTCAGTACAATACTTCTGCCATGCGAAGTGAATTTTGAGTTGAAGTGCACTATGAAACTCGCAGATTAAAATTATCAAACTTTCTCTGGTTCTTAAAATATGAGACGAGTGATACAACAAATGGATAATTACTCGAGGGACTGGAACTCCTTGTTTCTTTAGAATGTTAATTACAATACTTCTCTCGTATTTGAAAACGAATTTCAGATTAAAATGTCTTCAAACCTGTTTGACTTGCATTTAACTTTGTCAGAAATGTCTTGATCCTTCAATTTGAATTGCGGTGATTTCGCCAACATCTTTGGTCGCTTCGCCAACGTCCTACTGGTCACTTCGCCAACGCCAAATATCGAGTAATAACTTAGTAAAAAGGGTGCTTACTGATGCTTCGGATGTGATGCTGATACTTGGGTCAGAACATTTTTAAGTTGATGCTTGTTTCGCTTGGCTGACTTCCAAACAATTTGCATATTTTGCAAACTGTTGAATAACAAACTCCGATGGCTTCCAAATGTGTTCCAAAAATGTATAACTCAAAATTTTACTTGAAAAATGCGTTACGATGTGAATTAACGAGTTACCATTTTTCAGAAGCAATCAGAGTTTGTTTTCCAGCCTTCAAAACGAGTCAGAAATAAAATATAACAAGTACAATATCAACAACATTTTAATTACAATACGTACTTTTATAAATATTTACAAGTGCAAAATATTTTATTGGAAAACCTATTTACAAAACCTTCTGATTCACAAAATATTTTCAATGCAAAACCTATCTACAAAACCTTCTGATTCTCAGCTTACTTCACGCTAGTTCAGTTCGTTCATGATCAGTTAGAGCGCGCTGGTCCATTCAAACGCGAGCACGTCCTGAGTAGCTGAGCAGCGGTTTTCTCGTAGTTTCTGGCGTAGACGGTTGGCTGCTCGCGCGATGTACCAGTAGGACGTTGGCGAAGCGACTTTTCGCTTTGGCGAAGCGACCTAAGACGTTGGCGAAATCACCAGATACCTTCAATTTTTATTTCTTATTTGAGACTGATGATAGGAATTAACTTTTATGTTCTCTGCTGTTTAGGGAGATGTGAAGTGACACCACTGCATATAGTTGGTACTATTGACAGAGTGAATAGGTGCGACGGTTATTGCGACAAGCTGGTATTCAAGAGATTGTCTTTAGTACCAGAAGCTTACTACTGGCATAAATTATCAATCTTTTATTCTCTCCAGGCAACTTCCCTCGACTAGTTTATGCTACATGCATACTTTTTTTGCAACTGTAAAATTACCAAAAAAGTTTTTGAAAGTTTTGTCAAAATTTCATTGGAAAAGAACAGGAGGAGATATCAGGTGAAGTATTTTCACGTTCCCTGAGAATGTTTGAGCTTCCAGTGAGAGCTATAAAATTTTCTAAGTTTCTGAGATATGATTTGTCTGCCATAAAATTGGCACAACCAAACCCCCGGCTAGTAAACTATAAATTTCCTCAAATAGGCATCCAACCTGATGCCCGTTACTGCAAATTATGTAATGTCAAAGTCCCCTTTTGAGATAAGTCTCAATTCTCTAAAATCTGATAGATGTAAATCATCTGTTTTCCTAAAGGGATCTACGAACCTCTTCACACTAGTTTCATCTGACCTTATTTAGTATTGTTCCCAGGAAAAAAAGACTTTTGGAAATATTTTGTTTTTTATCCTCACTGTTAAATATCAGCCTTACTGGTTCTTTATTGTTGAGCATGTAATAAGAGTCTTTTCGGACCATCAAATTGTCACATAACTCTTGTAATTTAAAGGGTTGGAGAATAAGGTTAAAAAGAGTGTATACGATTTTTTTGTGCAGTGGAAATGATAGAATGAATGTGATTAGGAAATAATTGATTTAGTTGACTATTCATATTACAACTGGAAGCCCAAACTAGCACTTGTTTTAACTCACAGTTTCTCCGCATCATTGATCATATCTAATGATATTTCCAAGACTAATGATTGAAAAGACTTTTCCTTACTCTGATAAAATCCATAATTATTCCTCCATTCCTAACAAGCTCTTTCATGTAACGACCGTATCTCTAGTACTAACGTTGTCTCACCTTTCTTAACTTGACATTGGCCCTTTTTGTTTTAGTAATCAGCCCCGCCGGTTGGGATTCACTTGAAAAAAAACATAAACTTCTGTAAACTGTAATTTCTCGCTAAAATTGGAAGAACGTTGCACTAGCAGTACAGTTGAAGCTCTAAAAAACGCCCACAGGAAAGTGAGTACTTAAAATGATCAACGATAGGTTGAGATAGCAATGACACGATAAAAGTATAACATCCAATTCTTTTGTGCTCTTCGACAGGCCACTTGCATCCTTCACAAATAACATCATCTACATTGATCTCCCAAAAAAATCAAAAGACATGCCCGTGGATATCTCGCAACTTATCTATTCGGCCTCTAATCTGGATGTTCCCAAAGAAATTGCGGAAATTGTAAGAACAAAATCTTTTAAGTTCCTTAAGGGAACTTCCTACCATATACCACACAACAATTTTAAGACTTTGCCGCTTCCATCTAAGTTACAGCGGGAAAAATGACGAGAAAAGTTGTCTCAAATACTCGATCCATTGTTGTTTTCCGAAGTATTTTCCTGCTTCTTTTCTTTCGCGATTACCAACACAGGCACATGCCAGCGGTTTCTCGCATCGAACTAAAATTTACGGGACATGCGCAGCAAGATGCCCTTCTGCTCGTTTCTTGTGTAATGAATTGATATGGTCGTTGAAGGAATTTGCGTTGGGAACAAAAACTTGAGGCTATTAACCTTATCTTGACGACTGTTGATGACCAGCCGCTTCAAGGAAAAATGACATATATTTATATAAGCGTACTTCAAGGCGGCCCACGGGTAGCATAAATAAATAAAACCGGGCTTTCTGCCAGTAAATACCCATCAAAATGATTCCGATTTTTCAATGTATTGACCGAAAATCCAATATACTGATCGATTTTTATTACAGTAACCAAAAGAAAATCGATATTACTTTCTATTTTTTTGAAGGAACTTGGTTGGCCCAATTTATATTTTCCTTCGGCTTAACTTGTCTTTAATCTCAATAATTTAGTGCTTTGTAAGTGTTAAGTACTACGACATTATGCAAGTTTTCGTGTATCTTGAAAGGGCTTTGTAGGTAGGTTCAGATATTTTCCAGGGAGGCATTTCGTGAGCTATAATCTAATGTAAACAGTAAACGACTGGATCACCAAAACGGATATTGTTGGCGTGTAATTTTGAGAAGATTTTGGAGTAGAAGTTCGCTGACTTTCATGATTGAAGAAACTGAAAATTGTCGAATTCACTAGAGTCGCTATGGTAGAAAAACTCTTTCATGCGGTTAAATTTTTGCGTGAATTTCATTTACATGCATGCATGTGCAACAACTCTTAACTCATGTCAACCAAATGTAAGGAAGAGTCGCTGAGATTTTATATAACAGGGTGCAAATAGGGTGGTGAAACATACAATAACATGCTTAGTCGAAGGAAAATGCCCCGTGATTATTTTAACTGAACAGTTGTAATTCCTATCGAAAGAGCTAGACGGCCGTTCACAGCTTCGAGATCAATTAGCTTCGGTTTCAGCGATCGTAGGAAGGAAAGACAGACATCCTATAGTTTGAGACTAAAGATAGAAAAGCTCATGGTTCAAGTTAAAACATCAACATGACTATTCTTACCTCAGCCGATTTCGACGGAAAATGATGCTCTCTCTCTAACATTTAGCCATGAAGTTCACTCTCACACCCATCCAATCTGCTGCATGCTTTCACTCTTTTCCTCTTCTCCTCGATTTTGCTTATTTTGCTGCTAGTAGCGCGATTACTAAGCTTCAGAATACCCTGCCAC